GCGAGCTTCCGCCCAAGCCGGAGCCCGAGCTGCTGCCCAAGACAGACGAGCCACCGAAGCCAGAGCTGCCGCCACTTCCGACCGGTGAGCTTCCACCGAAGCCGGACGACGAGCTGCCACCCAAGGCAGAGGAGCCCCCGAAGCCGGAGCTGCCGCCATTTCCGACCGGTGACCTTCCACCAAAGCCGGACGTCGAGCTGCCACGGAAGCCAGACCTGCCGCCGCTCCCTACCGGTGAGCTTCCATCGACGGCGCAGCCGCCGCTGCCGAATCCCGCGGAACCAAAACCATGATCACTCAACCACCGACGAATCCATGCATGGTCCTCGATATGTTTGACAGTTTGAGTCCTGTGTCCATGATGAGCTACCGTGGCATGCTGACATCCGTGATTTGTTTGTACCACGTACCTGCTGAGCTATTGGGAGTGTTTGAGATTGTATGCATACATATATATTAATAAAGTGGATTTCGTGTGTGTGTATAGTCGGTCGTCTCTCAGATTGTCATGCCTTTACTAATTATAAACTGTCATCACGTGTAAAACCGTCATGCCTTTACTACAAACATACTAATGTAACAGTTGTTGCGAACTGAGCGTAGTCACATATTCTAAATTTATTTTAGACTTTTCGACGATGTTATTCAATAGTATGGCATGCTCATCAACCATGAAGCATCTACGACGACTTCGTCAATATCAAGATTCTATCGGCTCAGTTGCTCCTTGATTCGACGGATTTTCATATGCTTTTTGGAGGTTTAGAATCCTTAAGAAGTTTTTCTATGTTGAATGTTTGATCCATAGGATTATATCCTATAGAGTTTTTTTTTCTAAAGGTACTGCTTCACATTGGATCCTTTTCTTTTTTCTATGATGCAATCAAAGAAGTCAAAATCTAGTAGAATTGAGATGGGAATGACATTCTAACCCTATGATTTTTCTATTCCCACGCTTTTAGAATCCTACAAATCAAAGAGGCCCTCAGTCTTTTAAGATGCTCATAGGGATACCATGTGTGTGTGTGCGAGCATCTACGTTTGTACCATATTTCTAAAAGAAAAATATAACAGTTGTCTTGCGAAGCCCGTACAGTATCGGTTACCAAGTTTAGAAACCCAAATTATTATTTTTTCCCGCGGATAAATGAAACCCTGAATTATTTCAAAAAAATTAAGGTTTTTTCTTCTGACATCAGGATAGCCCGAAGGGTGTGGCTAGATCTCAGTCGACTGAGACTTAACGAAGACTCTGTCTATATAAGAAGAAAAAGAAAAAACGGAAAAGAAATCTTTTATACGAATCTCCATGCAAGATCAAAGGCATATAGCATCAACTGAGACATAACGAAATCTTAGTCGACTGAGACTTGGTAAAACTATAGCCCGAAACATGAATAGACAAGCGATCACTTTTTTCGCATGGTAATACGTGTCTCATTTATATCATAAATATCATAATACAAGTCACGTAACCGACTTGGCAAAACTGAAAAGACAGCAGAAAGCTAGCCTTTGCTCAAAGGAACAACAACCAAGAAGTAAAATTACAATCAAGATTGCAGAAACCTCTGAACTTGACACCAATGCCCGTCACCTGCCTCTGGAACCACCACAGCAGCCACCAAAGAAAAAAATGACGGATCACCTTTACACCCGAGCTCGTAGCAGCTCCATCGCTGATATGCAGCTTTGCGGACCTCCAATGTGGCTCACCAAAGGCAAAACCATTACCGTTGAACGAATCAGATCGGGGCAACACCCCGAACACGCCATCAAACTCCAGATCTGACACCCCCGCACGACTAGAACGCCGAAGGAGAAAACCACATCTGCCATCCACGAACCGCGAACCCGGCACACGATCACCATCTTCCTGATGCCGCCGATGCAGAACACAATCTGCATCCGCTCCTGGACTACCTCCCACGCTCCGCGCCGACGCCGGAGCAAACGTCGTCGCAACGGCGGAACCCAAGGACACATGTCCACCACAAGGATGTCGCCGCTGCCACGCCATCTTTGCTTGAACAAACTGATTTCCAAATCCATCCCCAACCATAGGACCGATCGCCTCGTTGGAGCAGGATCCGAAGAAACTTTATTCAACGCCGCCATCGCCGCCGCCGAAGTCAAAACGATGAACGGACTAAAATCCTAATCTACTAAAGAAAAATGATCCACACGCGTGGATCCGGCGACCCCCCTCACCACCGATGACCGAGGCCGCCGGCGAAGGGGAGCCGCCGGACGGCGGCGACGGGGAAGACTCCTGGCGGCTAGGTCGTGTTTTCTTT